CAGCACATATAAGTAAGCCTAGTGTCTGAGTCTGATTTTTTTTTTTAAATGTGAACTTTATTTTTTTTATTTTTAATTTTTTTTTCTTTTTTTTTCCAGTATCAGGAATCAAATGCATGACCTCGTGCTTGCTAGACAGGCACTGTGCCACTGAGCTAAATCCCCAGCCCTGTCTGAGTCTGATTTTAAAACCCTTCATGTGAAATACATATTCTTCATAAGGATCTGTTATGGTACATAGAGTGACAGAAAATTCCTCTCTCAGACTGAATAATGTTGAATGTTGGTTCAGCACTTTAAGTTCAACTAGCGGTGTAAAGTTATTGTTTGGATTTCAATGTTCCCCAAAGGTTCATGTGTCCAAGGCATGACTTTCAGCTCATCGTGCTTCTGGGGAATGGTGGAAACTTTAGTGGATGGGTGTAGTGGTTGATTGATTATGTCAACTTGAGAACTTTAGAAGCATAACTAAACTTGACTCAGCAACTGGCTCAGCAGTTGGCTCAGGTTGTAGAGGAGCCACCATAGGGTGTAGAAGAGCCATTCTAGGGTGGCTCATCACCTAGATAATATAAAAGGGAAATGAAGAAGGACAGAGGTACCTCCATTCCTTGTGGAGGAGCTCCAGGCTTCACCTTCAGCTTGGACTTCGTCTCCTGGCTTCTAGTGCAGACTCTTTGGCTTCCACCTTGGATCCTTCAGCCTTCCAATGCAGACTCATCGGCCTTCTGGTACAGACTTGCATGGAGCGCTGCAGAGAACTCCAGACCCTGGACTGATTCCTTTGGTCTTCAGTGTGCAGACACCCTCTGCACACTTCCCCATACAACTCTCTGGCTGACCGTCGTAAGCCAGTCTTGTACTTTCTTATGCATTTGTACATCTTGTGTTATATCTGTGTCTCCAACAAAACCCTGACTGATACAGTGGGGCTGTGTGTAAAGATACCAGATGTTTAGAGTCAGAGTGTAAAAGAGATACTGGGTGCCCCCTCCTCTCCTCTCTCTCTCTGCTTCTTGGTACCATGAGGTGAGTAGCTTTACTCTATCACGTGCTCACTCCGTGGTGTCGGCCTCACCGTGAACCGAGAAGCAGCGAATCAGCTGACCGTGGACTGAAGGTTGTGAAACTGAGGCAAAGTGGACCTTTCTTTGGTAAGTGTCCCCAGCAACCGAAACCTAAAATAGCAAACCAGGGTTTTTCCCTTGTCAGTTCTGATACAGGTAAGAAAGTCCTCTGCTGAATGACATATTTGCTGTAGCAAAGTTATTTTTAGCAAAATTCTTGCCTACTTTTGAAATTTAACGTTGCTTTCTATGTATTAAAATAGCATATTGTTTACATTAGTAATAATTTTGTATACACCTAATTTTGGTGCACATCATAAAGGATTTTTTTTTTAACTAGAGCATTCACATCCTTCAAAATAACACAAGGTTTTGTTTCTAGAAAAATTTCCTACTTTATTATTAAACTGTGTTGAGCTTTCTTCTGGCTTTTATTGGTGACAAAGACCTCATTCCAAAATTTTCAGTCAACAGTGATTAAATTTAAACATTAAATTCAAACACTGAAGAAGCTCTATTTTATTGACAGGTAAAATTCTGTTGGTGTCTAAGGTAGTTACAGACAGTGACAGGCCATAGTCCCTGAAATGTGCATGAACAGGTGGGTAAAGGGGTAGAGGAGCGAGGCAAACAGTGATGAATGGAAATAACCTTCATGTGCTTTCTGCCCTTTCATTGTTGGGCCTTTCCAGCAATGATTCTAACTATAGCACTGAAACCGCCTTCTCACAAGTACAGTGAAATTCTGCCTGCCCTGTGTTGCGGGCCTCAACCTGGTCAGTGACATTGGACTGTGGTTCCAGAGACCCTTCATCTTTCCAAAATCACCCTGCAGTCTGGCTGAGTTGCTCAGGCCTCCATCCTCTTATTTTTAGAAAAACACAGCAAAACAACAAAAATAAAAACCTAACAATAAGAATCCAGGCATAGCTTGCATTTCTAAAGCAGTTAATGGGACTGGGGATTTAGCTCAGCAGCAAAGCACCTGCCTGGCAAGCGTAAGGTCGTGAGTTTGATTCCTAATACCAGAAGAAAAACAAAAAACAAACAAACAAAAAAATAAAGCAGTTAGTGTGCCAAGAACTACATGAGAGTAATTTTGGGGAGGAAATGCTGAGCCCCAATGGCTATGCCCAGCATTAGCTACAAATCATAGTGAAGACTATTTGACCAGAAATCTTTACTTTTGCATCATTTTTCAACATATGTTAGAATTTCTATACAGCTTGAGTGAGATTTCAGCTCAGATTTATAGAGAAGACAGCTTGGTGTAGGATCAGAGAAGCATCTTTGATCATAGATAGATCCCCTGAGTTAGAACATGATGTGGGCACGGGGAGGAGAAGCTCACTGTTTTTCATCTGCTAGAGTAAGGAGGCTTTCTATCCGCACTTGTGATGGAAAGGACTACATCTTTGGCAGGGGTGACTGAGAAAAATCAGTCATAGGAGGGAACAGAAGGAGGAGGCCTCTGGTCTTTCAGGGAGCAGCGCTCCGCCATTTTCTTACTGGCCGGTTTTCTTGATCAAGAGAAAGTGACCCATTTATTGTTACTAAGGATGTGGTTTTGTCTTTAGGGTAGGAAGAACTTTCTTAATGGGCCATCGAGTGCCATAGTATAGGCAGAGCTAGGATGAACTGTGCGGTCTTTAGAGCATAAGGAAGAAGAAAGGAAGAACTCAGTTAAAGAGTGGGCCTGGGCACAGAAAAGGGGAGGGCACGGAAGCCTTGCTGAGCTCCCTGGGGAAGCCTGGTCCTGTAACAGGTGGTGGGAGTGAAAGCCCAGCAGGGTGCTGGGCCAGATGGCCGACTTGAAATCTGCTGACAGACCGCTAAGCCAGGTGCTGTCCTGTGAGCGCGCAGGACAGGCGGGGGTCTTCCTGTCTGCTAAGTGCCCAGCAGTCATGGTATCCTGTCTTACTGTGAGCCGTGGTGCCAGATTGTATTCTATCTAAAATGTTTGGGATGTCAGTATCTCTAGAAGAACAATAGAGTCCATGAGAGTCTCTCCCTGTGTCGTATATTGATTGAAAAGGCCATATAAACACCATGTCACTTTTGGACTTTTCTGTAGTGTTTGCAATAGTATATTAAAATATGTCAAAATGTAAGATGATCAAACAGCTAACTCCTCGGGGAACTATTAACAAATGGGTGGCCATATGTAATACATAGGGATGGATGTCTCCTAAAATGTGTGTGTGGTCTGTTCTTCCAGCGCTATTTTGCTAAAATGCAAGGAGTGCTAGGCTGGAGAAACTGAGTGCCTGTGTTTAAATTAAAATCGTGAGGTGCCACTGTCTCAGAAATAGATACTAACAAGCACATTTAGGCTTTCGTGATTCATTAATCTTGAACTGTGAGTGAGTTCATCGTTTGCAGCTGTCACAGGCAAAATTCCACTTCCGTTTCAACCAGCTACTGTAGTTAAATTCAGCACATCAGCTCCCAATTTAAGAACTTCGTCGTCAAATAGCTCTTATGATGAAGAGAAGAAGGCAGATCAGGCAGGTCTCCAAGCCTTGAGGAAATTATCTTTTATTGTTATATCATTCAGCTTAGGCTTTTGGAGTTACAGCTTTTCACTCTGGAAACAGCACAACGGTGCTTCCATCGAGACCATGTTTGTTTCATAAACTCTGTTTGTGCATCTGCGTCCCCAGAACCTCCAGGACAACTCAAGCCCTGCCGGCCCAGGTGTACAGTGGGACCCCCCCCAATATTGAGCTTTACTGGTTCGGTCCATGAACGAGGCCCTGGTCTCTGTCTGCTTTAGGGGAAACTTCTACATGGCCATGGCTCCTGGATGTACACCATTCAATCTGAAATTACAAGATTAAAGAGATCACATTTTATTTAAAATATTTCTTACCTCAAAATTCATTTTTTTTTTTTTTTTTTTTTGGTTTTTCTCCGGTACCGGGAACCGAACTCACGACCATGCGCTTGCCAGGCAGGCGCTTTTGCCGCTGAGCTAAATCCCCAGCCCCTTACCTCAAAATTCTGATAGGGTATATTTTATAATTTAAGGCTTATTTGTGGCGTATTTTGTTTTGGTTAGTTAGTAGGAGGCGAGCTCCTGTAGTTCATCTCACTGTAGTTTTCTTATGTTTAGGATTGATTTGTATGCAAACAAATTTTCTGAAATAGCGCAACGATGATTAAGAATCTCACACCAGTTATTTATTCTAGTTATTTATGCAAATCGTTCAATGTTACAATTCAGCACTGAAATTGTTATTGAAGAATTTTCTTTATGTAGTTATCAAAGAATGTTGCAGTCATGCAAGCAACTGGATTATTTATTGAATAAGAGACCAAATGCAATCTTTGAGCAGTTGTAGCATATGAAAAGACATCAAGTGATCTTTAGAATAAATCAAGTCCTTATTATTAAGATATGGCTCTCCAAATGATTTTTAATTGCCTTTCTTAGCATACTATAATTGAGATGAAAACTAATTGACATAATTTTAATGTGTTCCAATTCTACAACACTAATTTCCCATTAAATGCAATAACCACTCAGAAATCTAGCTAATTAAATCTACCCACTGTAGGATGGAGTTTCAGCCTTTGCTTAATTGAAAAGTCTTATGTAGTACTTAGAATATTATGGATGCTAAACATATAATTGTAAAAAGGTATGTGAATATTTCAACATTCATATTTATGAAAAACTATAAAATACTGGAATAAATAATAGATTGCATGTTTAGCTTTGGGTTCATATCTGTAATACAGAATCACTTTTATAGTTAATTTTCATATCTCTGTTGGGGGAAATGGTTTATCTAGATCCTTCTTGATATGGATTTAGATGAAAATCTTTCTGTTTTCAGAATATAGAGAGGTATTTTTGTCCTTCAATAGCAAGTATAAAAATAATATAAATAATCAATGTGTTGACTGATTAATTATTTCTTAATTTAGGCTTATCACATGTGATTCAAGAAAATACCTTGTTAGAAGCCTCCACTTTTAAAAAAGGTAATAGCATAAAAACTCAACTAGTTTTTGTTTAGGTTCATTGGAACTTTTTCTAAATAGGTATAGATTTGAGGGGGCAACTCTCCCAAATAGCACAGGCATCTCCTCCCCATGCACTGAGCAGTCATAATCCCAGAGCTCACAGAGGAGAAGCTCAGTGTCTCAAGGGAGATGATTATAGCGTTGAAGGTGACTCTTTTTTAACACTGAGCTCCCGTCTTTACAGGCCTTAGTAAAACCATGTAGAGGTGCTGAGGACTTGATCTTTTTACACTTGTATACATCAAATTCCACCATCACTGAATTGACACAAATTCCCTGGCAGTAATCCTTACTTCACAGTTTGTTCTACATAGCAAATGAGGGAGGGTATTATATTAGTTTCCTAGGGCTACTGTAACAAATTCCATCATACTGGGTGGCGTGGAACCGTGGGAGTATATCATCTCACAGTTCAGAGGGCCACAGCCCACAGTCAAGGGTTTGAAGGTGAGCTCCTTCCAAAGGCTCCGAGGGGCAAGCTGTTCCGTGTCTCTGTCCTGGCGCCAGTGGTCAGCACGGAAGCCTCCGCGTTCCTGGGCCCCCGGACCCATTGCTCCGATCCCGGTCTCCACGTGCACCTGCTTGCTTCCCTGTGTTCCTGCAGCCTTCTTCCGTCTTTGATAAGAACACATGCAGTGGATTTAGTGGAGTGCAACACAGCATTAACTCATCTCCACCCTTAATTCCATCAGCAAAAATTGTGTTTTAAAGTACAATCACATTCTCAGGTCCCCGCTGGACCTAAATTTGGGCAGCAGATGCACCATTCTGTCTACGATAGACAGAAACAGTTTTTTTCACTGGAAAATGTTATAGGGAAAGACCTCCTTCTGTCTCTAGGTATTAATGATATTGACAGTTTAGAAACCTTACAGGAAGCAGGCATCTCACTGATGTACTCACTTATTCAGTGCTAGGAAACCCTATGAAGTAATCCTGATCTTATCATCTCCAGTCCACACAGGAGGAGACGCAGAACGGGATTAAAGATGTCTGCCAGGTGCTGCGACACACGAAATAGCAGATGGGTGAGGCAGCTCTTGTCGTCGTTCCCCATTTTCCTGATGAAAGCCTGCAACTAAGAAATAGAAAATTCCCCGAGGGCTGTCGGCTAGTTAGGATTCAGACCCCGCAGGGGCTGCCCTCAGGCTCGTTGTGCGGGTGGCTTCCCTTGTGTGCGTGATAATGGGGTCCAGCGTTTGCAGACCGAGGGAGTGCACTGCGTACTTCTAGGTGAATTAACTTCCTGCTTCCTAAAAGGATCTGCTGTGGAATTGTTAAAAGAATCGACTCCGTGTCTTCTCAATTTATAAATGATTTAATCATATTTTCAAAATGCATCTGGCTATTAAATATTTTATGGAAAATATTGTCGTGCATTTCCAATATGCGTAAGAAGTGGAAAACAACAATGAATATTTTATAGACTGTGGGGAAATAGAAAATTAACAGATTCAGGAAAAATATGTAAAATTGGAATATTGTTACTATTATGTGCACGTGCACACATACATGTGTTTCTGAGGTCTGAAGATGTGTGCTTCAATTATAAGATTTCAAAGTAATGATTTAATTACACAGCAATGAAATAAGTGAACAGGCCATGGAGCCAGCTTCTTGCTTCACTCCCATGAACATAAGATTGGAAGTGAATGCTCACAGGTATTTCCAGCCTGAATAATTTAGAAACCAAATGGAAGTCATGACAGGTGAAACGTCTCATTTTTTGTACTGAGCACCTTATCAGGGAACACTGACAAATAGAAAATATTCTGCAATATTTAACTTTTAAAAGTTAGTACTTCGTAATTTAGAAGCACAAAACTCTGCTTTCAAATCACTCTAGGAAGGTTTCACCCTTCCGTGTACTTTATTTCCACATGGCATCACCACCACAGAGCGTATCCTGTCTTTGCATTCTTGGCATTAAAACACCTTTACATACTTTATGGAACATGGTATACTAATAGAAGCAGTGCAAATGTGAAAAAAAAATCATTAATTTTAGCTTGGAGGGGCTGGGGATTTAGCTCAGCGGCACAGCCCCTGCCTGGCAAGCACAAGGTCATGAGTTTGATTCCTGGTACCAGAAAAAAACCAAAAAAAATTTAGCTTGGAATTTCCTAACCAATCATGTCAATCACTACAAAAGGAATAAATGCCTATAAGGTATTTTTTTGGACATTGAATGAAAATAAAATAGAATGGTATATTTACAGTTCTTACTTGAGCTTGGACATTTACGAAATGCTGCAAATTGGAGACATGTTCTGAATAAACACTTTGTAATATATTCAGTTTAAGATTCAAACGTTGTGTTTCACTTATTTATACAAATTATAGAGATGTTCAAAGACTTTAGGGGAAATTAATACATCTACTGCAGTATTCTCACTGAGAAGACCTGGGTATAGTTACAGTTAAAGTTGTCTTTGTCACAGAAGGGCTTCAAAAAATCCATAGTGTTAAAAGATTTATAGCAGTACCTCCGAGGGAGTGAAGCCAGTCTTCTTGCCATTTCCCGGCTCCTTCCACTTCCCGGATCCAGTTCCTTGTTTACCCCCTTGGTGGTTGATGGCACATTCTTGGGCAGTTAGGCCAATATTACAATGAAACATTCGCCCCTGGAACAGTGCAGAATCACCAATTAAGGCAGATTTAACATTACAGTCTATACCTGAAGTTAAATAGTATTTATAATTAAATGTGTCAAAAATGTAATCACTCTAATCAAAACATAAAGTTAAAACATTTAATAATTACCATGGAAGGGAAGAATGTTCATAGCAAGAAAGAGAATTTTGATTTCCTGATGAAAACCGTGTTGTAATTTTAAAATTTGATTGGGAGTTTTATTTTAAATGTGCATATTAGTTGATAAATACTTAAAATTTCTGAAACTTCGCTCTTACCCCATGACAACAGAGTAATAAAAAGACTTTCAGAGGCTTGCTTAGGTTGAATTGCTCCCAAGGCGAGGCGGGAACCGTTTAGCTCCTGGTTCCCTCGTGAGGCTGTTTCCTTGGGATCAAACGCTCTGAAAGGGAGGGAGAGGATACAGGCTGAGCTGGTCTGAGGAGGAGGCTGCGCATCTTCCTGGGTACCCTGGCTGGTGCCAGGCGCACTGGAGCCAGAGCAGCCCGCAGGAGTCGAACATGAGATAAAGTTCTCAAAATGGTGGTCTGCAGAATAAGCCTGCTGATGGTAAGTTAGGTTTGCCTTTCTTCTCTTCCTATGCACTACAAATTCAATCAGTAGCTGTTTTCTACCTTTCTTGGCAAGAATTGCGTTTCATAACCCCATAGATCTTCATCTTGGCCATGAAATTGTTTGGGCATCTGAACTGTTACGGACTTGTTTCAAGAGTAAGAACTCTTGAATGCTTAGCTGCTTTCTCTTTCCTCTCAGCAGCAACTAACTCAGGCTGGAATTAGAACATGGTGGTGCAGATAAGAACCAGGACCAGCCGGGTGTGGTGGCACATGCCTGTATTCCCAGCCCTTGGAAGGTGGAGGCAAGAGGATTGTTGTGAGTTCAAGAACAGCGTGGGCTACAAAGTGAGCTGAAGGCCAGCCTGAACTGCATACTGAGATCCTGTCTCAAACAAACAAACAAACAAACAAAAGAACCAAGACCATAGCCAACCTGAGGTGTTCATCTACAGTGAACCAGAACAAACATTGTCCCACAAATAATTGGTTTCTTCATACTTTTACTACAGCATAAACTCATGTATTCTTATAGATTTGCAAACATTTTATAACATAAAACTATAATCTTCCCCTCATCAGAATATCAGATACTCTCAATTCCACCTGCAAATCAGTCAGAGTGCACCCTCCAATCCATCATGGTATCCACAGCCCTCTGCTCTGGGCCTGCCCTGCGCAGGAAACCATGCTTGCAGCTTTGCCCCAACACTAACCCTGTCGCTCCAAGCCCGGCGTTACACGTGAATTCCACCTGTGAGTGCACACGAGCACACGTGAATGTGTGCACCTACGGGCCTCAGTTATCACCTGACACATTTGAAGCTTTTCCATTAATTTTAGAAATACAACAAGTATGCCCCTCACTTACTATGTATCCATTTTCTAGGAATGTGAAGCAGTTCACAGACACATGAGGGACACGAACACTATAAAGGAATGTGCAAAATTCTTAAAATTTGCCAAAAACAACTGTACCAGTAAATTGCAGAAGATGTACTAGGATAGCTATTAAAACTAGTGTAAGATAATTTTTGTATACAATGAAATATACCATATTCTAATACATTCACAATATGTAATAATATAGTATGATAAAAAAATTAATTTCCAGTTGGGTGTGGTGGCACACACCTGTAATCCCAGCACTTGAGAGAATGAGGCAGGAGGATCGTTGTGAGTTCGAGGCCAGCCTGAAATGCATAGTGAGACCCTGTCTCAAAATAAAAAGAAAAATACGTTTCCAAAGAAAGTACTACAACTGGGCAGGATGGGCAGTGAGAGAGGATGGATGAAGGGTACAGGGGAACAGCTGAGTGTGAGGAGTAACTTCCCATGGGCCGCAGCACGGTCAGGTAACTGCAGTTCACAAAACTTCAGTGGACATTTCATACCAACTTTGGTAGTAAGGATTGTGAATGCTTTACATACAAAGAAATAACAAATGTTGAGGTGATACAGAGGCTAATTACCTCACAGATCATTGTAAATTATATAGACATGTATTGAAATATCAGTGTCATATAAACATGCTACGATTATGTGTCAGTTAAAAATAAAAAGAATTTAAGAAAAAAAATACGACATAAAGTTCCTTTGGAAAAAGGAAATATATCTTTTTTGTGAACTCCTCTAAATTATCCCTAGAGATATTGAAAAAACAGCTAAGGTATCCAATATTCTTAAATGACAAAATTCAATAATGTGAAAATAGAAATTATCAACAATTAATTTATATTTAATTATACTATAATAAAAGTTGAAAGATTATTTTAAGGTAGAAATGATAAAGTGATGCTAAAATTATACTGACATACTACGAAAACTGTAAAAATGAAAAACAAGGAAAATTATGATAAAAACATAAAATCAAAACATGTAAAAAAATTTAAACAAAATAAGGGTGGCACTATCTGAAAGACAGGAAGATCAATAAAAAAAGAAGAGAGATCCAGAAAAACAGAAGCATTTAATGGGAATTTTCCAAGTAGGATTTTTTAAATAATGGATGAAATGTGTAAGTATAGTTAGGATTATAAACCCACAGCTTGTCAGGAAAGAAGCCATGAAGATTAGATTCATAGAAACATAGACCCTTCAAAGCTTTAGGACAAAAGTACTAAAAACATAATTAAAAGAAAAACACTATGTAAAAGTGTTTATGTAAGAATGTTCATATTTTAAAAACAAAGGAATACTTTTAAACAAAATAAATGAAAAAGTCATACCCAGGAGAAGAAGAGACAACATGCATAATTGCAATAGTGTAGTGAAGAATCTTCATATTAATATAAAAATAACATAAATGAGCTTAAATAACATAAATGAGCTTAAAAATAACATAAACGAGCTTCCTTTCTATAAAGGAAGATACATTTGTCCATTTAACTGGAAAATTTCATTGTAACTGCATTCACTTGGCTAAACTATATTGCCTGTTATGATTTCAATTAAGAACACCCTCCAAAACCTCATGTGTTGAAATGTGGGGATTTTGGAGGGGTGGATCACGGTGTATACTCATCAGTGCAGTGTGTACTCAATACTGGTATGTTGGAAGCGTTTCACTTTCCTTTTGATTTTTACAAGAACTCAAAGCTGAGCTTGTCTTGAGTGTTAGAGAAGACTTTGTTGTTTTCAGCAATGTTGGAACTGTTGAGAGTTTGTGACTCTTAGAGATGGACAAGTGAACTATGCATCATGAAATGTATGTGAGTCTTTTGGGGGTCATGAATGGAATGTTATGATTTCAGTATAGAATGTCCCCCAAAAGCCCAAGTTGTGGATGTGGGGCTATTTTGTTGTAGTGACAAGAAAGTAAAGAAGAGAACATTTGAACTTTCTCTCTCTAATCTGTATTCCCATAGGTTGGCTTCAGCCATTGGGATGTTTCCAGAAACCATTTCCTCATGCTGG